ACACGTTTCCGCAGGCCAGTGCGGGCCCGATCTTCCAGACTATTAACAACAAAATGATACTTTAGAAAAAGGGTCAATATGGTGGTATTATCCACCAGATGCACTAACAGGTAACTTACAGGTTAGAAGGATTGGGAAGTTAAATGGGCAAATTGCTGAAAAAATACAAAAAGGGTTAAATCTCAAAATAAAAATGTCGCAAGATTTTGACCGGTTCCCCACCTAGACAGACGCCAACTGGCTCAATTCGCGTGAAGCTGGTGACGCCCCCATCCGCTGGAATGGTCTTTCCATGAATTTTGTCCGCCCAACCGGCGGCGTAGCGCAGCGTCGCCACCGAGGCCTGCACCTCAAAGATGGACGTGGCCATCACTTTTCCGCTCTCCAGCGAGCCAAGCGCCGCCATCTCTTCAATGTCTCGTTCCAACAGGTCGGCCAGTTTGTTCAGCAGTCGGCCTCGGGCGGAAGGGTCCAGTTTGCGCCAGGGAGAGTTCAGACGGAAAGCGGCCACGGCAGCGGCCACGGCCTTGTCGGCGTCGGCCTGTAAACAAATATAAAAATTACCTTTAAGTTTCTAAACTACTAGGTCAGCACTTTGCTCACCTTGTCACCCTCAGCAATGTCGGCGTATTTCTCCTCCGTGGTGGGATTAATCACAGGGAAGGTTTTCCCGCTCACCGAGTTGACCCATTCGTTGTTGATAAAGATCTATGAAAAGTAAGTTTATTTGAAAGGGTAACAAGAACCTTTTTATTACTTTTGTGTACTTGACGTTGACCATGTTTGCTGGCTTGGTAGGTGATCCACTTGTTGACAGTTGTTGGACAGGTTGCTGAAGGGAACTTCTCGGTACAGATGTGAGCACGGCACTGATTTTACCGCCACCGACGACTGGTCTTTTTATATGCTGATTTTTGCATTTACACAAGAACTTTCTCTCTCTCTCTCTCTTTATCTGACGCCAACACTGCTTCAATTGTGTTGTCCTACAAGTGCATTGGCTGTACACGGAAAATGGTAAGTAGAACAAGCTGAAGCAAATAGATAATTTATCGTTGAAAGTCCCACTGGATCAGCAGTAGCTTTCACAAGGTATAAAAAGGACACCTCCACAATTGCGTTCAGCCACTCTACCTCTACTGTTTACTCGTTAACATGTTTGTTTGCACTATCACTCGATTTTCAGCTACGCTTTGCTGTAGCCTAGTGCGTTCATTTTCTGTTGTTCATTTTTAATATTTTTTGACTTTTGCGTGCAGGACTGACACTTTAAAACTTTTTT